ATATATTATTTTTTTTAAGAGACTCATAATCCAGTTAATTAGCTCAGTGAAGAAGAACCTTTTAAATTTTAAGATTTTGATTTTGGTTTCATACAAAGATATGCTAAATTCCTGTTTGAGATAAAGGATAGTCAAGAAAGAGAAACAAAGAGGGGAGCGAGGCAAAGAAGATAAAAGGGAGAGAAGGTTAAAACTTACCTTGTTTCATCGATATAAACTGCTTCCAGCACAGATGCTGCATATTCAATGTTCTTCTTTAAGTCAACGACATTAACATCACCTCTTTCCAGCTGCTTCACTAAGCATCTTAGTCTATTTCAAAAAAGCCAAAGAGAGAAATAGAAATAGAGATCTATTGTAACTATATGGAAAATAGTACAATATTAAATACACAAATTGAATAAACATTTTAACAGAACTATCTCTAGGTCATAAAATAGAAATATTTTCAGAAAATTTTTTATATAATTAAAGCCAGTCTTCATCACTTAAGCAATAACTAGAAATTATATTCGCCTCTCAGTAATATTAGGGGTGTAGGTACCTAGTTTAAGTGCCATATTTTAAGAACAGTCTTCCTGAAAATTCAAGACAATATAGACATTTTTCATGAAAGTATATTCATATAGTTAGGATGTATTCTATGGCTGTTCTGCTTCTTTTGAGTTAGCGCTAAGGGAATATTTAAAGGGTGCTCTTCTAACTGCTACAGTAGCTATTGTTCACTGTATATAGCAATAAAAACAAAGATGGAAAGCAAAAATTTCCTCTAAAATTAATCAAGATGAGGAAACAAAAATACATGTATGTATCCTTAGTGTTTTTACTGGAATGGTTTTTCACCTAAGACAAATCTGAACATATTTTCTCTTGTTTGTGCCCCTAAGATCATGTGTCCCAACTCTGAGGAATTCGAAAGCACAGGACTCAGCTAGATCCCTGACTCACAGAAACTGTGAGATAAGGAATGTTATCTCATTAAGCCACTAAGTTTTGGGATAATAATTATACAGCAATAGAAATCTAATATAGTGACATGATACAAGTTACCTCAATGAATTTATAACACTTTTGGAAACTTCTATGCATTACATTGTAAGCCAAGTATTTCTGAATATGTATACTATGCTACACAGAAAAGGAACAAATATTCCTTACTCTCTACATACTACAGGTAAGCAACATGAAGACAATTTACTTCTTTTTCTAAGTCATGAGACAGAATTAAATTCCATTTCTGTTCAAAGGCACTTCAAAAGAGACAACAGAGTGCATTTACTTTTAGTCATATCTTAGAGATAATGTAGCATATTTTCCTACAATTTACTTTGGATGATTTCC